TGTAAGTTGTTATTCCGGTTTGTATAAGTTGTTTTGCGTATTTATTAGTCAAAACACACATACACACCTGTTGTGTACAATAGGATGTGCTTTTGTTATAATCATTTTAGAAACAGAGCACTGATTTCTTCAGACAATTTCTCTGTAGAGTCATGCCTGGTCACGAGCCAGAAGTTATAGGGCGTCAAATTTTTCGACTGTCCAGTGTAACGAATTTGTTGTTATATATTTATTTTAATGTCAACGTTTGTTTGGATTGAGTTTATAATTAGAAACATGCCTACCTTATAATGTTAGATATGTATTGCGAAACTCCCACCTATTCTCCAAAGTTGTAGAAGATTCTCTAGGGTAAGAATCAACAATATATATCTATATACGTAAACACTTTAACCAGTATTGTTACGTAAGACTGAATTTTCTAGATAACCTTCCCACCCCTATAAATATAACCAAAGCCACGCGCCAACAGGAGAGTATCTATTATTAGTTCGCTGTAATCAGTGTGCTATAAAACCTCGGAAGCTATAACTGTGGTTGTTATAACGCTTACCAATCGGAAAACTTCAGATATTGGACCAGGAGCATTTACAAAGTTCGAACATTACAAATTATTTAACTTCAGTGGATTCTCATCGGACATTAGTATTTTTATGAAAACATTACCTAACGTCATCGGTGGAAAAATCGGCGTGTGATCAGTGAGAGACAAAGCTAGCTAGCTTCCCGTTAAGTGAAATATATCTCCATCAACTCGCAATTAACTCGCTCATCCTGAACCCTCGATTACATATCAAGGAAGTTCCAGACTAGAAAGAAAACTTTATATTGTTTGTAAATTTGTGAAACTTCTGTTTATAAATCATTGTTTGTAATAATTGTTATTGTAAATTTTACTGTTGTGTGTATATTAAACCGTATTTGTGTTAAAAACGAAGACGGTGTGTATCGATCTTGTTGGCAAATATCGTAAATTGACTAAAATATCGGTGTATATTTAAATACTAAATCCAAAGTGCAATTTAACTACTAAATTTACATTATCAGTTAGTTCGGCTTCGGACTATTCGAAATTCTAATACGTAACACCAGAAATGGTATGAAGCAAACGGACAATGCCAGAACAGTAGGGTACTCCAGTGAACTGTATCCAGAAACATGAAACGTCATCGAACTACAGGAAACTTTGTTCCAGGAAAGCCTATTGGTAGACGCCAAAAACTACTGCCCGAGATGACCGCTTTTTGATCAGGTTAACACGTTAAAGTCGAAAGAAGTCTTGCAATACCTTACGACAGGAATGTCATGAACACGTTCATTCCAGTATATCCAAAAGAAAAGTGAATAGGAGACTGACCAAACAAGGTTATTTTTGCAAACCAATATCAACTAGAATTCACTGCCGTCACCATGTTACTTGACCAAGACAACATGCCAACTTACAGTTAGAACACTGGAGACATGTCATCTTTTCATATAAGCCCTGTTTCCGGCTTGTTAAAGCTGATGGTAGGACTTGTATTCGTTGTTTGCCTGAAGAATAGATGAGGGAAGACTGTCTTTCACACAGAGAACACACAGGAGGTGCAGTACATGTTTGGGCAGCTATTCATCACTGTGGAAAAACTGCTCTTCATATCCTCCAGGGAAACGTCCATGATGCCTCCTACAGGGATCACATGGATATGATATTTCTACCACATGCTAGGGAAAGGTTTGGCAATAACTTTGTGTTCCAGGATGACAATACCACTGCCCACAGGATTATCTCGTCCAGGAGGACTTTACAAGATTGCCATGCCCAGCAAAGTTTCAAGATTGTAATCCCATTGAGAGCTGTTGGTCAGAACTGAGGCAGAAAATTGCTATCCACAATCCTAAACCAGCTACTGTAGCTGAGTTGCAGTGCCTTCTAGTGACCAGTAGGGATAAAATCAATAACTAATCGACAGCATGCCTTGCGAGTAGGATCAACCAAGTACTGAATGTTTAATATGAACTGATATAAGGCTACAGACGCTATTTATAATGATTTGATGTTATATTTTGTCATTATACATGTTTTGGTAAAGTTTTGTTGTGACAGGTGAAATGCGGAATTACACATCTTTCTACAGGTGTCTGATAAAAATGTTTGCTGTTCTAATAAATCGTTCATGATGTCCATAGAACCTGTTTCATTATACAAATTACATATGTAGATATTTAATATAACATGCATTTCTTAGTTTGACAAGTGTATTTGTATTCCATCGTAATAATAGTGATGTTATTTGTTACAAAATATACAAACATTTTGGCCAAGACTGTACTACAACGTATGCTTGTTGAGTGTTATACAGTGTAATATACGATAAAGAATTTATTATTTTCTACGTTAAATAGTTTGAAAGAAAGTTTCCAAAACAAAAATAAGAGCATCTCAAAGGCACAGCTGTGTGAATCAAAGTTGTTTTGTTCATATTAGAAAATAAACGCATTTTAACTTACGTGCATTATTTATGAACGCTCTTAAACTTTGGCAAGTACATATGGCATTTGATTGCTTCTTCCCGGTTTCCAGTACTTTGTTGTGACGTACATCGGCCAACTGGTTAATAACACACTTGCCAACCAAAGAAATACAGCTTCGAACTTCTACCCAAGTGCTTATGAGTGTTCCAGTAATAACGGATTTATATGGTTTAAAGTTAAAATTTTTCTTGGCTTCTGCTCGTATCCATGATTATACTATGTTTATTGTATCATTCGTGTATGAGCAATATTATAAAGAAACTCTTTCAAGGGGCCCATAAAGACTGACAAAAATACTTCAATGATTTAAAAAAGGTTTACTCTTTGTTGCTAATTTTTTCAAATACTCTTTTCAATTCTGACACCTTTTCACTTAAAATACAGTATAAAAACATGGGATTAGAAAATTTTACCATTATAAATGAATATTCCTGAGATTTAAAATAAGTTCATTAATATCAATGGGAGGTCGCTTTAAAAAGAGCAGTAAAAAATTACTTGAACTTCCTGCGTAATAACGTAGTCAACATCAGAATGTGAGATGAACATCAATATAATGTAAGTCGTCATGAGAATTAAACATGTCCTCCAATCTTCTTCTCTTCTTTTTTTTTATTACATCGTTAAACGTTTCTTAAGATTGCTATTCACCGAAAAGTAATCGTTATATTTCGAAAGAAGTTAGACTCCATAATATGAAGTTAAATTTATATGAAATAAGGCCCCTAATAATGAGAATACTGAGCTGCATGTTTGAGATGCTCAGACGTATCCTGGTGGTGGGACAACATTTCGACAGTCATCATCTATATTGTTTGCTTATTTCAGTATTTCGCGTACATCTACACAAGATTCTTCGCATAGATTTGAACTAATATAATAGAGAAAAGCAGTTAATCAACAGCACCCACCGCCATCTCTTGGGCTACTCTTGTCTGGCTGAATAGTGAGATTTGACTGTCTCTTTTATAACTCACTTACGGCTCTAAAACTACGGGAAGCAAACTTTTTGGATTTGCAGTGCGAGTTTCGGTGCCCGCTCGGTCACTCCTGATCCGTTGGGATGTAAATGAACATCATCCAAATCATAAAAATGCGTATTTGACTGGTAACTGTAAAAATGTTACAGCATTACGTAATGTAAGAACAAATATTGGAAGTGTTAAAATAATTCATCAAAAATTATATCGAGTTTCGATAGTTAACGTAGGTCTGCATCTTATTAGACAATTAAAAAAAGCATGCTTGTCAGTGTCTAACGTGTAAATAAATATATATTTTTATATCCGACGACACATAGCGAATTAATATGGGCTTAAAGTGGGTTAAACACGTCTTGTATTGTTCGCGTGCCCTCAGAATATGATTCATGACAATAGAGGATTTTTGTTAACAATACTGCTATGCAAAAAATAATTAATTTCAAGTATTTCTGGGCGTGAACATAGCATGTCGTGCCTATAACTCAGTAAAAAGCCAATTTTCGATTTGCCTATCAACATGACTACACTCGTATTTTTAAAACGTGGGTGTTTATTGTTGAGGAAGAGGGGTGTAAGATATCAGATTTTAAAGATAAATGCTAGAAATTTCATTATTTTTTATAGTGTATGTACTGCGTTAACGCCCTTCGTAAGTCTGTAAAAGTGAGCTATTCAAGTTTTTCGGGCACGATCTTGTTATTAAAGAGACAGGAGAACAGATAAAACAGCGTCTCTCCCATACAGCTTGTCAGTTTTAGTAACCTAGCTTGTCAATCAGTCTTACTAATGCTACTAGTTTCATTGTAAACAACCCGTTCATTTCAGAAGCTGCACTAGAACCCAAAGAACCTTTCCGTATAACACAAATTTCTATTATATGCCTATAACTGTTTAAAACTACCTCTGGATATTTTATAACAGTCGATTCATAATTTCCCATGGTATTACTAATTACTGTAACACCGTTTGTTCCTGTTTACAGCATCGATAATGATCTATGTTGTGAGTAGTAAGTTTTGTCACTTCTGTTTCCGATGACCAGAAGTTATTTTTTACGCAAAATTACTTCTCTGATGTCTTGTTAATTATCAAACAAACAGGAAATGTGTGTAGATTACAAAAGGGAATGTGAAAATAACTATCTTCTAGAATATTTAACGTTTACATCATAACTCAGGACGTATTTAACCACCAAACAGGGATATACTTTCAGCCATACTTTTTTAATCACGTGCAGATCAGAAAACACGAGATTAACCTTTGCGCAATAATTTTGATTTCTCAGACCGCTGTGTTTGCATCATTTCTCTCTCTCTCTCTTTTTTTTCCTTTAAGGACTTTCGTGTGACGTAACTTCTCAACTTATCGCTTCACAGTCAAGATTACCGTATATAGCGCGTAGCTTTCTAAACATTAACTGTGCAAGGCAAAATATAAATTGAAAATAAATCGAAGTTTACCAGTTTTATTATTGAAACTGATGAGCATTTCGCTTTTGAATGCCTATATAAATACGCTTTCTAAAGTATAAAAAGTGCCTTTTTTTAAGTTGTTGACAAGGCAACGAAGTTTCCTTTTAACTCTAATAACTGTACTTTATCGATCAAGGCTAACACAGGAGAAGCTTTCTCTGCCGTCACAAGAGCACCCTCTATTAAGTTGTTCGTAACAAAGTATTTGATAAAATTGTACTATCTGATAGTGAAGGTGAGTCACCATCGTTATTCCTATCTATTGTCATTATTTCATGAGTATGAAACCAGGTCATTGTCGTACTCCTTTTTGTTGGTTAAAATAAAACGGTTAGCGGTGTTGAAAACGTGTTGTTTTTGTTTTGTTTTTTGGTACATTTGGGGGAATTGTTTTTAACTATTACACGTCATCATAATGTCATGTGTGAATAGTTGTTTGTTTATTTGTTGGTAAGCACAAAGCTACACATTGGGCTATCTGTCCACCATGGGTATTTAAACCCGATTGTTAGGGTAGTAAGCCTACAGACTTATTAGTGGGGGAGTAGGGTATGGGCATGTGTGAAGAGGGTGTTTCTGGTGTTGAAAAAAATGAATTGTTTGTTTGTTTGTAATTAAGCACAAAGCTACACAATGGGCTATCTGTGCTCTGCCCACCACGGGCATCGAAACCCGGATTCTAGCGTTGTAAGTCTGCAGACATACCGCTGTGCCACTGGGGGGGGAGTAGAAAAAATTAAACATATTGGTTTAAAATTTTCTCTCTTATTACCATTTAACTACGTCTGGCAGTGAGAGGTGAGAATACTGCATGAAACTGTTCAGAATAATATGCTATTTTCTTCTATCAAACCACTACGGAAGCATCCTAATCATCACACTTAAGGTTATTAATATACATAAGGAGTGTGAATAGATTTAAGTAAACTGCTATATGTTAAGTCTTGGTAATTCTAAACTTTATATTATATCTTAGGATTTGGTATTTTCAACTTGAAAATCACCTTGCGTGACACATGAGCAAAACGGTCAGGTTGATTTGTTGGTATGTCGTTGCTATGCCCAAAGCTACACAATAGACTGTGTGTGCTGCGCCCACCACGGATATCGATACCCGATTTTTAGCGTCTTAAGTCTGCAGATTTACAGCTGAGCCACTATGGGGCAAACGACCAGGTCAGAGACCCCCAAGTTTCAGGCATATTTCTAATTTCGAATTGCTGGCGAGGGCAACAGTCGGTAACATTAGCCTCTTACGTGACTACTCTTAACCTAATAGCGAGATTATCTGTCGCAGTCTTGACCGTGGCGCCCCCAAATTAAAAAATGCTGAGCGTGATGATATCGAACCATGGTCTGTGGCCCAACATGTTAATAATTATGCCACGCGTAGCTTATTATATCTAACAAATAAACCTTAAGTAGTTCTGTCGATTATCAGGTAGAGAGCACCATTGATGTATATGACATGACACTTATAATATTTTAGGTTTGAAGCTAAGTCTTGAGTGTTCCAAACTTGTATCTAATTTCTCTCATACCAAAAAGTTATGACTAGTTTCAAAAAACCTTACATCATCAGAGCTGTACAGAGAAATCATGTTAACTTTTAAGCATATCATTTGTATTCTGTGGCTTATTTGGTATTATTTGGTACTTTGATGAATGTTCTCTAGATTCATCACAGAAAGAAATCTGAAATTGATATCGAAAGAACAGAGTCCGAAACAGACTATCTCCGGAATAACTGTACATTTATTTATTTGTTTCTCTCTTAAAGTGAATGTTTTTGTATGTTATACACAACAGGGAGAATGAAGTAGAATCCCTACGCAGATCACACACATTCCTTAAATATTGAAAAACAAAACAACCTCTAGATTAGAAACAGCATACATTACCATCTATAGCTAAACGTGTTCTACGGAATGTATTTCCGTTGATGCGGATGCAATTAACGGTAACTAAGCCGTTTGTGTAAAGAATAAAGCCTTATTGTTTCACCCGTCTCAGTAACCTGATATATAAGAAGCGATGTAACACAATCCTGAACTAAGCATATAGGTGGCCACCAACGCTTTTAAACACGCAGGTCTAACACTAGGGTGCCACTGCACGTTTGTAGTATACATCTGGCGGCCCCAAGAAATCACAATATAAACAATCAGACTGTATCCGAGTATTTGCTGATCATTTTTAATGAAGTCATACTCCAAGCCAGCGAATTATATTTCGTAAACATAACTATAAACATTAGAATCAATGGTATTCCAATGCTCACGTGTATGTATATCACGTGGCCGCTTTGCTGATGATTGATACGAAATCGTGGAAGCTAAAACTCTTCATGTTATTTCTTAATTTCTCTCTAGAAGTCGATGTATAAAGAGCATGCTTGTTGAAGTCGGTAAGTTACTATTACAGTCATGCAAGTTGTAAGTCTTTGCGGTCATCATAGCTAGCTTGTACGTCTACGTGAGTTATAATTGTGCGTAACCATGTGTAGTTAATATATTATTATGAACAATGAAGTTTATTAATATACTTAGTTGGTCTCAATCACAAAAATTATGTTCGTGAATTGCGTTAATATCTTCAACGGACTCTTAGTTCTTTCTTTTTTCATATTTTACTGATTGCTAAATTATCGTTCAGCCTTTTAGTTCTGTATACTTGCAAGGGTGGCGGAGGATCAAGAAACCTTGCTAGCGGTTGCCCAAGTATAAAATGGTTGTCATTATACGTTCAGTTATGCTCTGCCGCCGCGCGTGTGTATGTCTGTCTTCTGTAACTAATACAGTTAAGCGTTAAACAGTAACTACCATGAACATAATTGTTCATGTGCGTGGGCAACGGAAGTTCATATTCTCGAAAATAAAAGCGCGATTCATCTCGTCAGATTGTTCCACTCAGAACACAAACACGATGATGGCAAAAAGTATAGGCAGCAAGTACACCAAAATATCTTTTTACAGAAAGGATTGCCTCATAAACGACCGTTGGTGATTATTATAAGACAACGATGAATATGTTTATTTATATAATAATCAGAAGTTTTTTATAACTTTTTTGAAGATAAGAAAGTCACTACAACTTTAAGAGTACACCAAAAGGAAAAAAAAGGAAATTGCTTTCAAGATATCATCTAGAAACAAAACTTAAACTTAGCATGTTAGCCATACCATTCTCTCCACTAAAAGAAGACTGACGTCATTAATGAATGTAATTTTGAAAAACGGAAACTTGTTAAGGTCATCAGAGATGTATTTAGAAGTGTTGTCATACTAGTGTTAATAGACATGACGTCTCAACATCAGTATACTTTACCTTTGTGTTTTACAAAAAAGAATTCGTCTGATTGTAGTATTCATTTAGATGTGACCTTTTAATGAAGAAGTAAGAAAAAAATCAATATTCAGACACAAATTTATGAGGAGACAACATTATGGTTTTTATAATACAATATATATTTCCCTAAGTGGCCTAGTGGTTAGGGCTCTTGACTCGCATTATGAAGATCGCAGGTTCGAATCCCGTCTCCGAACATGCTTGTGCTTTCAGTCGTGGGGGCGTTAAAATGTTACGGTATATTCGTGATAAAGAGTAGAACAAGAGTTAGCGGTGGATGGTGTTGACGAGCAGCCTTCCTTTTAGTCTATCACCTCAAAATTAGGGACGGCTAGCGCAGATAGCCATCGAGTAACTTTGTGCGAAATTGAAAAACAATAAGAAAAGTAGCGGATGCGCCGGGCTGCGTGTCGAAAAGGTAAAGGTTGAAGACGAGATATGTTGCTGAAAACGCTTCGAAATTTCAGCTATTGGGGTGTTATAGTTGTGACAATCAGTCCCGCTGTTTGATTTACGGGAGCCGTGCGGAAGCTGTTATAATACTCAACAAAATACAAACTGTGTATTATACTTGTAATCCTCAACAAAATACAAGTTGTATGTTACTGTTATAATCCTCAACAAAATACAGCTTGTATATTATATTTGCAATCCTAATGATGCCAGCAAGTTTTGAAACGAAAACTCAAATGACTTTGACAGTTTGCAAACTATTGTATGTATTACAGAAGGTCAATGATAGTAAAACAATACAATACTGGGAAATACTTAAGATCCTTCCTTTTCATTTTTCTTGATGTTGCTGTAGTAAGATTTGTTTTTATTAAATTACTCCTGAAGTGTGTTGTAAATACTTTAAAGCTGAATACTATAACACTGCTAAAAACAACCACATAGTACCAATACCAGGACAATTTTTTTTAACTTGACATCTTTTAATGTAAAACTGTTAGCTTGGGAGAGGAGGGTAACTAGTCATTTATAATACACAGGTTGTATTTTGTTGAAGATTATAACTATAATATACAAGTTGTTATTTGTTGAGGATCGTAAATATACAAGTTGTATTTTGTCGGTTTGAGGTTCATGGGATGATACCTAGGTGACACTCTGTCTGCTGGATTTCATTTATTTGTTTTGTTTGTTTAAGAACTACCACAGGAACATCACTAACGTCAGAGAGTATAGATTTATCTGTATCATAAATATAACTTCTGGAAATTATAGGCTCACCTCCAGAGCCCCAAGGCTTACCAGCATCTAGTACACAACGATCTAGACGTTTTTTATTAACTTTCTTTCGAATCCGTTTACCTGCTGTGTTAACCCTTATTTCACAATAGATCCTCCGTCCCAAAAAATCTTCAATCAGACCATAACTGCTCATCATCCAGTTATGGAGGAGGGGGAGGGTCTTAGAGGGTCTCTAGGTCTTAAAAGAGTTTCCCAAGGAAGGCTTAATACCAGTGTATAGACATAGGAAGGACAATACGTAATATTAGAGAATGCGCTGTTTGACAGTTACATTTTACACCTGTTTTAGATGTGTCTTTAGCTTTACAAGATTGTAACATATTAATATGAAGGCTCATATATAAGCTAGCAATCTAAAGTAGTCATTAATCACCACTTCATGTATAATTTGGTTTTTAACCTCTGTTGCTTACTTCTACGAAAGTGATTTCGAGATTGTTCAGCTTCAATTATTTTCATCTGCGCACAGTAGCACGTGCATGCTTTTTATAATATTTATAACTATTAGAACAAAAGTTGAACATTTAGCAAGTTTTCGATATGAACAACAAGCACATAACCAAAAGCCTGATTTATGAAGATGAGAGGAGGTACAGCTGACAGAAAAAAACATGGGAGAACAAATCCAAATTC